GGCGGTGCAACTGCCGGATGTGCGCTTCCTGGGGGAGAAGGCTGGTCTGAGCCGATAGGGAGGGAAGTGGAACTTTGTGAACCTCCTTTACACCACTGTGGCCCATTTTGCGACCTGGTTGCCCCCTTTCCCAGGCCCCACGCCAGCCAGCTGCCCCCCACTGCTCCCTCCTGGCACTGCGGGCCCCCAGAGCCCCTGTGTGCCGAGCCACAGGCAGGGTGGGTGGCCGGCAGTCTCCCCAGCTCATCAGGCCCATTTTCGGGCCTGCTCCTTTTGCTCCTTTTTTCAGCTCCATCCCAGGGCCGAGGCCAGTGGGGTCCTCAGGACTGGGCGATGGGGCTCTGAGGGCAAGGTCAGGCCCTCTGCATGGCCTTTGAGTATCAGGGGAGGCTTCGCCCTGTGGCACTCCTCAGAGCAGAGGGGTTGCTGATGAGGGAAGGGAACAGGCCAGCCTCAAATCAGACCTGATTCGTGCCCAAAACGAAGGCCTCCGCGTCCCGTCCGTTCCCACAGAAAGAAAACTAAACTGCTCTCCCGGCTGCTCAGAAAGAAGAACAGGTACCAGCACCGAGTGCTGCCTTGTGCGGATGTCTGAGGCCAGCACCCTGGCCGGCCGGTCCCTGTGCATGCGCCTAGTGCCCTGCTCTGGAAGGGTGCCACTAACCCCTAACCTGTCTTCCTGTGTGTGGTGCTGTGGGCAGGGATGCTGGTGGGAGGGGCCGGCAGGGCAGCAGGGCTGCGCTGTGTCCTGTGTGTGTTGTGGGGGGCAGAGGGCTCAGGGGCTGTCAGGTGGGAATGAGGGGGGCAGATGGCCTGAGCTCAGCTGAGTGTATTCTTCTCTGTACCACAGCGTGTCCTCCTGGCTGTGGCCCAGACCAGGAGGCTAACGGGCAATGTAGCCAGAAAGGAGGCCTGGCGAGGCTCAGGGGAAGGGCTCTGGTAGCGCAGTGCTGGTTTTTAAAAGGTGTGTGTGTGTGTGTGTGTGTGTGTGTAAGGAGGCAAATACGTTCCCGTGAAACACAAATTCACTAGAGATGCGGAGGGACCACGATGTCCCTCACACGCCTGTCGCCTGTCCCATCATCTAAACGCCCCCCGGGTGATGTGGTCGCTAGCTTCTTTGTAGCCTTCCAGAGCTGCCCTGTCTGACATTTGCCTCAGGAGGCTGGTGAGCACTTGAAATGTGGCCGGTGTGACTGAGCAGCTGAACTTTTAATTTCACTTAATTTAAATATAAATTCAAACAGCTGCCTGTGGCCAGTGGCTAGTCTTCGTCAGCGCCGTTCTGGAGTTTCCTGATGCAAGAACAAATACACGTTGTTATTTCCTGCCCCCTCGCACCCAAGTGGCTGGTCATGCACACTGTTTGCCCTTGTTCTCTATTCTATACTGAACGATATGGCTGGGAGACCTCCCCTCCTCATCCCCAGCAGCCATTCTCCCTGTGGTCTCTGGTTGGCTTCTTTTGTTTTCCCCCAAAGGGTCTGTGGGAGCAAAGGTGTGGAGCTGATGACTGCGGTGTGGGTGGGGAGTGGGGACCCTGGGAGCGGGGCAGTGGTTGGTGTCTTGGTGTGAGTGGGTGGACAGGCAGGGAGGCCGGACGAGGCATTTGGGGGCTGGCTGAGGAGTGGGCACAGGGGCTGCTGCGTGACGTGACGTGCAGGATGAGACTCATTTGCCTCTAGGATGTTTGGCTTTCTTGTGCTGTGGAGCTGGGCTCCCTGGTGGAGCCTGGCAGCGGCCTGTGGGGTGGCTTCCCTGGGGATCGAAGACCTCCAGCTTGGAGTTCCGCCTGGGGCTGTCACTGTCTCCAAGGCAGGCACTGTGCCCACGCCCCTTCGTTCCCCCCCATTCTGATACACGTGCACGTGCATTTCTCACATGTAAGCACAGGGACATCCACTCATGCACACATGGACATCACATTTTCGCAGCACACACACCCCCTCCTTTCCACACGTTGATGGACACACGTGCATACACACATGGACACACATTTCCACACAGGGATTCTGGGGCACACATCCCATCCCCTGCACACCTGTGGGTTCGTACATTCCCTCTTGTAAGCGGTGACCTCCTTCCATCAGCCTTCCTCTCTGGTCTTACCTCCACAGTGACAACGCCCCTGCAAAAGGGAACAAGAGCCCTTCGCCTCCGCCAGATGGCTCCCCTGCCGCCACCCCAGAGATCAGAGTCAACCACGAGCCTGAGCCGCCTAGCTCGGCCACAGCCGGGGCCTCCCTCCCCAAGTCCCCATCTCAGGTAGGCACCAAGTCCGTTCTCCGCCCTCTTCTTCCTCCTGCATTACCCGTGTGCCCCTGCTTCCCAGTCTTCCGTCCCCAACTCTGGCCTGGGTTCCCCTCAGTGACTCTGCCTTGAGACCTGTGACTGTGTCTCTCCCTCTACCCCCTGCAGCACCCTCTCCTTCCCTTTCTCCCTGGCCCTTGGGGCTGTTAACTTCCTCCATCTTCCTTTCCTTTCGGTTCAGGCTCCGGGGCCCTTGGCCCCGGGGGCATCCAGACCTGCGGAGGTGGCTGCTTTCCCTCCTCCTCACCGTCTCCCTTGGCGTGGGCCATGCAGGACCTTTCCAGGGTCAGCAAGGGAAAGGGCACAGTGAGGGGAGTATGAAGTAGCCAAGGGGACAGGCCCTGAGCTTCTGGAAGCCCCCCGAAGCCCGGCCCGCACCCCCGCCGGCTTCTCCAGGTTTCCGCCCCGTCCCCGGGAGCCACCCTGCGGCTCTGTCTGAGCTGTCTGCCTTCCCCCAGCCTTCCGCTCCTGGCAGCAGCCCTCTTGGTGGCGGGCCGTCGCCCGTCCCGCAGCTGATTCGGATAATGATGTGAAGAGTGTGACGAGAGTCCACACTTGAATAGCACTTGCTCCGGGCCGACACTGTGCTAGCACTTTCTACACTGTCATACATTAAATCCTCACAACCACTCTAGGAGGCGGATGCCCACCCCAGCTCGACATCTGAGGAAACCCAGGCTTGGGGGGTTTCCTGACTTGCCTGAGGCCCCCCAAGTGGGCAGGCATGTGGCTGTCCTGCCCGGGCCCACGCCGGGCACTGGCTCCGGCTCTGTGCTGGACCCCCAGGTGACAGGCGAGCCAGAGTTCCTCCAGCTGGAGGTGCAGGGAGGGTCCCGGGAAGGCAGAGCCCAGGCTGGGAGGGCAGAGCCCAGGCTGGGAGGGAGGCTGTTTCTCAGCTACGGCTTCTCTCTGCAGTGTCTCACCCAGCTGGGGGTCAGCACAGACCTCCTCCAGCGGCCCCTGGGCGGCCGGCATGCTCTTCCTTTTTTCTCCTCTTCTTTTCTGTCCTCTCCCTGTCTTTCTCTTTTCACTTCTCCCCCTTCTGTCCCCTCCCCTCATCCTCTCTCTCTCTGCACAGCATTTCTGGGCCTCCTGCCTCAGTCTCCCTCTGGGGGTGGTCCTGTAGTCCTGGTGTCTTTGCCTTGGGCAGCAGTGATTCCTCTTGCTTCATCTTCTTCAGTTGCCTGGGTGCAGCCACGGCCTAGGGTGTGACTAACCGTGGCTTTGTCTCTGTCTGTCTGTCTGCTCCGCCCCCACGCTCCGCTGGGCCTCCCTGTGCGGCCCCTCACCCGCCGACCCACAGCTCCGGAAAGGGCCACCAGTCCCTCCGCCTCCCAAACACACCCCGTCCAAGGAGGTCAAGCAAGAGCAGATCCTCAGCCTGTTTGATGACACGTTTGTCCCTGAGATCAGCGTGACCACCCCCTCCCAGGTCAGCCGCGGCCACCGCGGCCCAGCTCTCTCTTGCTCTCTCGGGGTGTGCATGGCCTTCTTCCTTCATCCCATGCCCTGTGCCTCTGCCTCAAGAGCCAGAATCTGGCCCTAGAGGTTGGCCCAGAGCCTCCCCCTTGCTCATTCATCCATCCCTCCATCCATCCTCCCTCATCCATCTCTGAGCATGTACTGTGGCCAGACGCAGGGACACGGGTGGGTGGTTGTCGTGGAGCCAGCCAGCTCAGTAGCGGCCTTGTACCTCCACTGATGCGATGGCCGAAGGGGAGAGCGGGAAATGGGGGAGGACTCGTGCCAGTCAGGGAAGGCTTCCTGGAGCAGGTGACATTTGCCAGGTGGCTGCAAGCAGACGCATCGCTTTAGCCAGAGATAGCAGCATGTGTATAGGCCAGGAGGGGTGACTTCTGGGAGTTCAGTGTGTCTGCAGAGTGCTGCAGTGGGGCAGTAAGAGGAGGCAGTGGGAACATAGTTGGGAAGACTCTGGAATGTCCGGCCAAGGCATCTAGACTTGAGCTCCCAGAGCTGCTGACTGGCTTTGGCGCTGGGACCGTGCTTGGGTCACAGAGCAGGGCTGCTGCTTGTTAGTGCCCCGAGAAGCTATGTCATGCCTGCCCACAGATGGACAGAAGGAGGGCTGAGCAGGAAGGTCCCCATGGTGGCACGGGAGTGGGCTGCACACTGTCAGATCAGCTCACAGAGGCCACACTGTGCTCACCCCTCCAAGCCACGTCTCCAGGCCTTGCAGCCAGGGCCCTTCCCACTAGGGGCCTCACTTGTGGTGCAGGCTGGCTCGTCCCAGGCTGTGGCCCCCCCTTGCTCCGGAGCACTGCCGTAGAGTTGCTCTGCCTAGGCCTCTGGGCTCTGCCCCCTTAAGGCTCCTTTGCCCGAGCTCAGAGGCCTGGAGGGGAGGGGCAGGGCCAGAGGGTCCAAGTGCGGAGGGAGAGGCAGTTGGGACCTGAGGACAGTGGTCTCTGCTAGGAGGGGCCTGGGGTGAGTAGGCCTCAAGCCCCAGCAGGAGGACTCCAAGTTAGAAGTAGGAGCTTTCACCACAGGGTGGCTGGTGGGCAGGTGGGTGACCCCCTGGCTCAGGGCCCTGGGAGGCAGGGGAGCTCCTCTCTGTAGAAGGTGGCCAAGGCTGGTCCAGGGGTGCTCCTGAGCGGTGAGGAAACCCGTTGGCACGGCGTCTGGGGCAGCGTGGTGCCGGAACGCTCTCCAGCTGGAGTATGTCTCCACCCTGGCCGTGCACACAAGGGAGACGGGGACGCAGAGCGCTGGTGAACACTTAGTAGGGAATGGCGCCAGCCACTGGCCTACGCGACCTTGTTGGGTTTCAACTATGCTCCGGGAGGGGTTGTTGCCCCATTTAACAGGTGAGGAACCCACGGGTCTGCCCTGCAGCCAGACTGCCTGCACCGAGCGTGTCGGCCTCTCCGTGCTCGTGCTTGCTGCATGCCTGCCTTGCCACCCCGTCTGCCCACTCCGGGGGGCCAGGTCTCTGCCCCGAGGGTGGGACGTGTCCACCGTGGGTGCTGCTGCCCGGGACTGGGGTGGGCTGTCCGTGATGCTGTGCTAACAGGGCTGCTCTTCAGGGCTCAGGTGAGTAGCCTGCGTCCCTGCCCCGAAGGACAGTTCTGATCCTGTGTGGTGGGGAGGCTGGCCGGCTGGGCGGCAGGGCGGGAGGACGTGGTCTGCCCTTTGGCCGGGTGGCGCTGTCCCCTTGGAGCGTGAGAGGGCAGCTGTCAGGGCTTGATGGACTTCTGACAAGGGGCTGGTGGTGGGGCTACTGGTGGAGGGAACTGCTGCTGCCAGCCGGCGGGAGGGCACCTAAAAGCCACGCACTCATGGAGTCTTGAGCACTCCCTCGCTCAGAGAGGGCAGGGTTATGGGGACAGAGCAGTGACCGCCCCCCTCCCCGCCGCGGCCCCGTGCCTGGCTCATTAGACAGGGACCAACCTAAGGAAAGTTAGTGGCTGGGGGTGAGCCTAGGGCAGGGGCTTGGGGGTGGGGACCCATGTCCGGGAAGTGAGACCACTCGGCCTGGGCCCTCTGAGGTCTGTAGCTTGGCCCAGACTGGATGCCTGGTCCTCCGAGCTGTGGGACAGCTGGTGCCTTGTGTTCTCAGAACTGAGAGTCTTGGGTCTCTCCTGCTGGGCCACAGCTCAGCTGTAAAGGCCTTCCTGGGGAGACTGTCTCCCCAGGACCCAAACCTTGGGTCCTTCTTGCTGGAAGACCTCAGGTGGACACAGGTGGGGAGGGTGCTCCTGTCAGCACTGGGCACCATCAAGAGCGAGTAGACGTGGGAAGCTGGGCTGGCCTGGGCTGCTGGGCTATGGCCCTCCTAGCACCCTGAAGTAGGGCAGGAGGACCCAGGGCCAAGCCAGGGCCCTTTTCTCTCGGGCAAAGTGCTCCCTGGCCCCCAAAGGGAAACCCTGTGTATGAGCTGGAGGTGCCACTGAGCAGGCCCCGCCTCCTCAGAGGACAGTGTGTCCTCTGAGCGCTGGTGCTCACCCAGCCCATCCCCCTCAAGAGCAGCTCTCCCTCGATCATCCTGCCCAGCTTACCGTGGGGCTGGCTTCTCACAGTGTGAACACAGTCTCCTGGGGCCATGCCTGTTACAAGCATTTTCCCGGGCTGCGCTCGGGCCCACTGAATGGGAATCTCTGGGCGTGGCTGGGGTCGCACCTGCAGGTTGAGCACAGCTGCCCCCAGTGTTGGGGAACCCGCACTTAAGATTGGGCTCCTAGGCAGTGTGCCCAGGGCTCAGCCCTGTCCTCATTCTGTGGGGCTGGCTGCTGGATGGGTGTCACCACAGGTGACCTGTCTGAATGGGGCAGCGAGGGGAGGCCAATGCCTGTCCTAGGGGCCCTCTCAGTTAGAGGGGCGTGTGTGGTCTTGTCCAGCCCGGGTGGGGGACTGTACTGCTTCTGGGGAGGGCAGGTGGGGACGCTGGGAGAGCCCGTGGGCACGGGCTGGGGGGGCAGGGAGGAGGAGCAGGCCCCGGGAGACGGTCTCGGCCTGCGGGACGGAGACTGACGGCAGAGCCGGGGGTGGTGCTGGGCTGGTGGCTGTTGCCCGCTGGGTCTGTTGCTGCTGTCTGAGGTGGGTGGCGAGTGCCGTCTTTGTGTGTGAGGCGGACGTGTCTGTGAGCGTGTGCGCCTGCCGTGGGCACCCTGTGAATGCTCCTGGCCTGTCACTAACTGCCGTCCTCCTCTGCCATGCTGCCAAGTTTGAGGCCCCGGGGCCTTTCTCGGAGCAGGCCAGTCTGCTGGACCTGGACTTTGACCCCCTCCCGCCTGTGGCGAGCCCTGTGAAGGCGCCCACGCCCTCTGGTCAGGTTGGTCTGAGTCCACCAGCACCTGCGGGCCCATGGGTCTCTGGGGCACCGGGTCGTGGGCTCATGTCTGGCCACGTGTGCCCATCTGAGCCAGGCCTTTGGGGTCTAGGGTCAACAGGCTCTCCTCCCACTCACTGACCTTCCCCTGGCCCCCAGCTCTTGTCACCTCCTCCAGCCCTGAACATGAGGACGGGAAGGGCAGACACAGGTCAGGGGGAAGACCCTCAGAAGGAGGGTCAGCTGAACACTCACTTGGTAACTTATGGCCCCTGGCAGCATCCTGCCCGTCTCCTGGCAGCAGCTCCGTGTCTGGGCACTGCCTGGCCTGGGGTCTCAGCCCCCTGGCAGGCATCCAGGACTTGGCTCTCTGGAGACCTTGGAGCCTGGCTCCGTGCTGCCCTGTGCCTGCTGGACTCTAAGGACCTGGGGTGGGGGGTCACTGGGGACTGCTTGCCCATCCCCCATCACGAACCTCTGTACTAACTCTGTCCTTCTCCCTCTCTGCTGCGCTTAGTCAATTCCGTGGGACCTCTGGGAGGTAAGCCGTGTTTGCTCTGTGCCCACCCCCGGGGGGAGCTGCTCCTCCGTGTGCGCCCGGCCCACCCTGCCCGGTCCTGCACCTAGCCCGTTCACAGGGGCATGCATGGGCACGCAGGGCCCGGTGCTCATGTGCACAGGGAGCCGGCCATCACTGCTTGTCTCCAGTGGCCCCACTGCTTCCCGTCTGCGGAGAAACTGCCCCTCAGCCAGACCCCATGGGGAAGGGGCTCCTCAGTTTAGCCAGAGAAGAGGGTCCTCTGTGGTTCGGCTCAGTAGTCAGGGTCTGTGAGTGGTCGCCTGGGATGGATGTGGTGCCCTCATGCTGGGCTGAGGCCCGTGAGGGGGGCCTTGGGGTGGCGGGTCTTTGTCCTTGAGGAGTTGTCTGTCTGTGGGGGCCCTACAGGGCAGCGGCATCAGGGAGCTGTTGGGACAGGGGAGAGAAGGAGGGTGGCTTGAGACGCAGGAGAAGCAGGGTGAGGCCAGGTGTCCTTATGTGAGCCGTCCTGCTAGGCCAGTGTCATCCTCACTGGGTGGCTCGGGCATGAGGCTCAGGGGGGCATGGGACTTCGTCAGCAGCCACGATGCAGCTTCTGTAGGGGCAGGAGCAGCTGGCGTGGGAGTGCTGGTAGCGTATTCTCCCAGGAGCTTGAAGGCTCCGGATAGCCTTGCTCTGGAGGAGGCCAGAGAGAGCCTGGTGCGGGCAGCCATCCTGATGAGTGGATTTGGGTGGGTGCTGAGCTGTGTGAGGCTCATTTGCACCTGCTCATCCCCTTGGCAGTGCTAGGAGCAAGGAGGTGGGAGTGGTTTTCCCTTTAGGGGTTCCATGTCTGCCCCCCGTTGGGCCAGGCTGCCTGCCGCAGGTACCCAGTCTCCCTTCTGCCAACACTGGGCTGCTCACGACTCTCTTCTCTTGTCTCGTGCCCTTGCCCAACACCCTCTCCTCCCTGGTCTCCCACCCCTCCCGCCCTGTTCTCCCTGGTGGCCCGTCACTAGCCCACAGAGAGTCCAGCTGGCAGCCTGCCTTCCAGGGAGCCCAGCGCTGCCGAGGGCACCTTTGCTGTGGCCTGGCCCAGCCAGACGGCCGAGCCGGGGCCTGCCCAAGTAAGTGTCCACCTGCCAGCCCCCACCTTCCCCCAGTCTCTGGGGGTGTAGCCGCGAGGAAGAGCCTGGAGGAGGGGCACAGGATGGACAAGGCCACTGTGGGCCTGAGGGTGAGGCCAGGGCCATGAGCCAAGAGGCCCCTGGATGGGGCCTGTCACTCCTGCCTGCAGTGATTCAGGCCAGATGGGCCCTTCTCCTCCTCGCCAGCCCCAGCCTCCCAGCTCAGGCCTTCCGCAGAGAGAGGGAGGAGTGGTCAGAGCATCCACTGATTTATAGCAGGCACTTTCCAGGATTTTCTCATTTAATTTTCACCCTAACCTAGACATTTCCTCCTTTTACAGATGAGGAAGTGGGGGCTAGGAAGCTTGAGTGATTGATCCCAGAGCTCGGAAGTGGCTGAGTGTGAGTGTTGGCCCAGGTCAGCCTGATGGAGGCTGGGCAGTGTCCACTCTGCCTTGGCCGGGCCCCCACCATGGTGCCCAGCACGGTGCTGCCCCCTCCTCGGGGAGCCGGTGTCCAGGGCCAGGCAAGGGCTGCTTGGCCTGCCCTGCGTTGTTTGGGCTGGGACAGGTGCTTGCTGCTGGCTCAGCCACCAGGCCAGTCAGGTGGGAAGAAGCTGAGGCTTGGCCAGGTCTGGGGCATAGAGGGCAGGGCCTGTGAGGGGGGGGTCTTGGTGGCATCCAGGGGCCTGTGCGGCCCATCACTTGGCATCTCTGTGCTGCCGGCATCTTCTCCAGCTGCTTCCCATGGCAGGGACCTGGCCTTTCCTCCAGGGGCTCCCTGTACCACACAGAGGCACTGGCGAGCTCTAGACACCACTCGGGGTGCTGCCCTCCATGGCCCCTTTCCTTGTCCTGGTTACAGCGTCTGTCCTGTGTCTGACCCCATGCTGGCATTTATGTTGCAGCCAGCGGAGGCCTCGGAGGTGGCGGGTGGGACCCACCCTGCGGCTGGAGCCCAAGAGCCCGGGGAGACAGCAGCAAGTGAAGCGGCGTCCGTAAGATGACAGGGACCAAGGCCCTGTCTTTTATTTCTGCTGTCCACCTACCCTCCCGCTCGTGGCTCCCCAGCCCCGTGTCTTGCCTGTGCTCCTTGCTCTGTGCTGGACCAGGTCACAGTTCCTGTCGAGGAGCCCGGAGGCACACCAGTCTGGCATCAGTCACAGAGACCCTCCCCTTCCCTTGCCCCTGTGGCCCCTGCCCTCCCGCGACCAGCTCCCCACATGCTGACTGTGCTTCCTCCCCTCCGCCCCCAGAGCTCTCTCCCTGCGGTGGTGGTAGAGACCTTCTCAGCAACTGTGAACGGCACCGTGGAGGGTGGCAGCGGGGCGGGACGCTTGGACCTGCCCCCGGGGTTCATGTTCAAGGTAAGCCCAGGCCAGCTGACCCCACAGCCTCCATCTGACCCGACAGTGCCCTTTTACAGATGAGGACACTGAGCTGGGAGGCTATGTGGGTGTGCCCAAAGTCCCCCTGCCCCCACTACCCCTGCTACCCAGTTGTCGAGGTGGCATCTTGAGCCCTGGTCCTGCCGCTTTTGCATGCTCCCGGTCACCATGTTTCCAGGGCACACTGAAGCCACCACGAGGCCTGGTGCACTGCGCTAGGTTGCAGGTGGGACCAAAGGCCTCGGAGGAAAGGGGTGTTGAGCTCTCGCCCAACCTCTGCAGGTACAGGCCCAGCACGACTACGTGGCCACTGACACGGACGAGCTGCAACTGAAGGCTGGTGACGTGGTGCTGGTGATCCCCTTCCAGAACCCGGAGGAGCAGGTGAGGGCCCCGGCCGGCTGGGGCGGGAGTGGCCAGCAGGGGGCAGCAGAGACCGACCAGCTGCAGACCCACAGGCCCAGCACGTGGCGGCTCACCCCTCCTCCTCCTCTTTCCTTTTCTCTTCTCCCCTTACTCATTTTCCCCTCCCTTCGCCTCTCCCCCATTTCTCTCCCTTCCCTTTGGCCCCTTCTCCCGTGCTGTCACATTTCCCTGGGTCTCTCTGCCTCCCCCCGCCCGTCTCTGTGGACCCTCTGTCCGTCTCTTCGGACTGTCAGCTTTCCTTCTTCTTGCTTCCTCCTTCCTTGGCTCTGCCTTTGTCTCAGTTTTTTTGCATCTAGGTGTCTTTCTCCCCTCCTCCTCCCCTACCCCTCAAGGTCTCCTTCCCTTCCGAGGACAGGATCCCTGAGCCACCTCTCACTGAGCCCTCCTGCCCGGCAGTGAGCTGGTGAGGTGCCTGCTCGGCAGCCCCACGTTGGGCTGCCTCCTCCAGGCTGGCCTTGCCCCCTGCCCACAGGGGCAGTGTGTGGTTTCCTGCAGGACCCCTGAACAGCCCCAGCTGTGTCCCCAGCTGTTTCCCAGGCCAGATACCTCCCAGACCCTCCCTCTGCTGTGGCTTCTCCTTGTTAGTCAGTCAATCTCAGAGTGAGCTCCCGGTGGAGACTGGGGCTGGCACAGAGCAGGGACTCCCTCCTAAATTCGGACAGGCTGCTTGCTTCGGGTCGCTGTGGCTTCTCAGCAGGAGCCTCACTGTGGGGCTCAGTGAGCTGGGACTTGAGGGCAGCAGGTACTGACTGAGGCCACAAGGACTGGGAGGTTTGAGTAACAAGGATTTCCTGGGCCCAGTGCTAAATCTGCCAATTCCCCTCAACCCCCGGGGTCTCCACTCATGTCCTCCCTGGGCCAACCCTGGACTGGGTGGGATTTTAAGAAGCAGAATCCTGGCTCCCGGCCCACAGTGGGGGTCATGTAGGTGGGTGGACATGGGTCAGAGAGGACATGCATAGGCTCTGTGACAGGCAATGACATAATGAAGACCTAGGGAGATCCCAGGCTTAGCATGGTCAGTGATGGCCTCCACCCTGGGCAGGGATGGATGGCCCCTACAGGCCCAGGGATCAGGGTCTGGGGCTAGGGAACTTGTCAGGGCTTGGGTAGGTGGTCCCTGTGAGGGGTCAGTATGAAAGCAAATGTGTGCTCTGTGGGTACCAGACAGTGGGAAACTCCTTGGCCTGGGATTGAGGGCGTTTAGACACATTCAGACCAGTGCAGCGATCAGGCTGCCTTTCTAGAGAGAGGAGGACTCACCCAAATGCCAGAGTTAAAGCCACCTGCTAAAGGGCAGATGGCTCCTAGCTTGGGTGGGATTGGGTCTGGGGTAGCAAGGAATGCTGCCTGGAGGAGGCATTCTTTCAGGGGGGTATGATAGGCTGGAGGAAATGATCAGGAAGAAGGAGGGGACATCCTCCCAGCAGATCTCCAGTGAGATCCATGCCCTGCAGGGTTTGAGTGCCCTCTGTCCCCAACCCCATGTGACCTGGGTGCTCCGTTTCACTCTCAGGATGAAGGCTGGCTCATGGGCGTGAAGGAGAGTGACTGGAACCAGCACAAGGAGCTGGAGAAATGCCGGGGCGTCTTCCCCGAGAACTTCACCGAGCGGGTTCAGTGAGCGGCTGGTGTGGCTCTCTGGGCGTGTGAAGAACACCTTTTCCCGAAAAATGTGTGTTTTTTTTTTTTTTTTTTGATTTTGTTTTTAAACTTCTGAAAAGCAAAGGGAAATTGAGAGGAGAGACCTAAGCCAAGAGGTATTCTCCCAAAGATTAGGTTGTTTTCCAAAGAGCCTGTTTTCGGCAAGTCCAGTGGAATCACCAGTGTTCCTGAAGCTGCTGTGTCCCCTAGTTAGTTCCCGGCCGCCCCCCCAACTGCGCCTGCATGTGTGCCTGGCCGCAGGGCGGGGCCTGGGGCTGCGGAGCCACCACGCTTGCCTGAAGCTTCGGCCGAGCAGCCTGGGGAAGGGTCCTCTTTTTTCTGGCAGCTGCTGTGGGTGGGGTTGGGTCTCTCCAGAGACCTCAGGGCCCAGACATCAGCCCGGCCTGACCCTGCCCCGCAGACCGTCTGTGTGCTGTTTGAAAATAAATCTTAGTGTTCCAAACAAAATGAAACAAACTGACAAAGACACTCAGAAAACCTATGTCCATTTATTTGTCCTCGCTCCGTTTCTGTCTGCAGTGTGATGACACTGTGATTATCAGTGATTTTCTCCCGAGACAGTCCGCTCCCTCAACCCTCTGCCAGGGCAAGTTTTGCTGGTCAAGAGGCTCCATTCTCGCAGTTCCCCCACCAGCTGCGGCATGCATGCCACCTCCATTTGAGTTCCTCCGGCCCCACTGACAGCTTCAGCCCCTGCCCCCTGGTCTTTTGACTGGTGGTTGGTGGGGTGCAGGTGATGGGGGCTGAGAGGCGGGCAGGGAAGGTGCTTGAAGAGCCAGCTAGGTGCCGCCCTAAGTGACATTATTTGATATGTGTGAGAATTCCAGGGTCAGGTGCCAGGACTCCATTTCCCAGATGAAGAAACTGAGGCCCAAGGAGGATTGGTGGCTTGCTGGTAAGTAGTGGTACAGGGTTCTGAACCTGCACAGTTGGCCTCGGGTGCATGGGGGAAGGCCTGAGCCTGGCGCCAGGAAGGACAAGCCTAGATGGCCCAGCTTCTCCCTCCTCATGCCGCCTGCCTCGCTTTCCAGCAAGAAGGTCCCCACTGCATGCAGCCCAGTTCTTCAGCTCCTCAGTGAGCTTGGGCTGCTGTGAGCAAGCCTGTGACACACACAGGGCTGGCCCGGGTCTAGAGCTGTGCTCGTGGGCCCAGGGACCAGCTGGACTTCCAGGTGGAAGGGACTTCTGTCTACATAACTCTGGATAGTGGTGAAAAGTCGGTGAAGGAGACAAACGTCAGAATCTTAGCTTTATTTTTGGGTAAAGCCCCTGAGCTTTGCTTCAGGTGGCAGGGTAGTCACTGCCGTGGCCCTGCCTTGTCTGTGGCTGATACTGTTGGCCTGACCGCCGTGGTTTCCGTGAGCCCGGGGAGGCACACGGAGCTCATTTCCAGTTACCCCTGTTTTGGAAGCTTTAGCTTTTCATTCGTTCGTCCACTCTTCCCACACTAACAGCTCATAGCTGCTGGAGCTGGGTGCAGTACCCCCTGCCCAAGTGGGTAGGCAGTTGGCCTGAAGCCTGAGCTGGGCCGAGTGTCTGGGAGCTGGGACACTACCAGGTTTGTGTCTGTCTGAGAGAGGCGAGCAGCACATACCTTGTCAGTGCTAATGGTCCCTCCCTCTCCTTGCCCAAGGCCACAGACTCTGCACAAACAGTGACCAGACTATTTCAGAAGGCCCCAGCCCATCTCTGGGAACTCCCCCTGGTCTCCCCTCCCTCCTGCCAGCTCCCAAGCCCTTCCACAGCGACTCAGACACTGGCCAGCTCTGGCCGGCGTCTTGTTCCTCATCCTTGGTTGGATTTGGAGACCGCACTGGCATTGCTTCTCTTGGTCCCCCTGGCCCTGACACCCGTGGTTCTGCCTCTGGGAATTTAAGTATTCACACCTCTAGTGTCACCCACTCCTGAACACCAGGTCTGAACTGGGACATTGTGACCAAACCTTGGGCTCATTTGCTCAGCAAGCCTTGGCTGGGCATTCTTGGCATCTAAAGTAGGTGGGCACTTGGGCTATAGCTCAGGCCTTCCATGATGCTCTTGGGTACCCTCTTCCCTGGGTATTGGCTTCATCTTTGGACAGGGTTCCCAACAGTTTCAGGTTTGATGTCTGTGCACTGCACTGTACAGAAAAGACCTCTGCAGAGTGACACGAGTCTTCCTTCCCAGAAGCCCCTCAGCAAATCTTTGTCTCATTGGCCTGAGTCCCCAGGGCTGAGTCAGTTTCTGTGGTTGGGGGTGGGGCTTCTGATTGGCCCCAAAGTTACAAGGCCTTGAGCCGGAGGTGGGGCTGGGTCAAATGGAGGAGGGTGGACTCCTGAATGCAAATTTGGGCATGGCTTCCAAGGAGATGCGGAATGGGTTCTAGGAGCTCAAACCAGTGAGTGTGCACTGCATTATGGTGTCTTCCAGAAGGGGCCATGAGACCAGGGAATGTGACTGGATGGAGGCTACAAATGGGTGTTTGTGTGTGTGTGTTTGTGAGTGTGAGTGTGTGTGTGAGTCTTGGGAAACCCTTACTTTACTCACCTCAAGAGAGTCAGTGTGTGACCAGGGAACATAACGCATGTGGGGCTGTTTCTCGTGTTCCAGAAGGAATAGTCATCTGACCCCCTCACCCCAGAACTTGCCCCACCACGGGAGATGGTATAGACAGTGTGCTGTCTTCCTCAGCCTGTGTGGTTGAGGATACATCTGAGTCTGTACAGATCCAGTCTCCTGAGCATTCATTCACTTGCTCATTCATTCATTCACTAACCAGCCATCTCCCACACAGTCCCTGAGATTACAGAGAAGATTCAGGTGTGGTTCCTATCCCTGAGGCACTCATAGTTTGGGGGAAAGTGGGCAAAAAAGGACCACAGTAGGGGCTATCGTGGTTGTGTGGTCAAGGCTCTGCAGACAAAAAGGAGCTAGCACTCTGGCTTCACATGGGAGAAGGAGTCTCTGCTGAGCCTGTCGAGGTGACAGGCATCTCCAGGAGTTGATGCAGGGAGGTTCCATCCCACACAAGTGGAAGAGGAGGCAAGCCTGGGCAAGAGGAGGGGGCCAGTTGAAGAGGCCTGTGGGGGTTCAGGCTCTCGCTGGGGAACCCGGAGCTCAGGAGAGAGGTCGAGGCTGAGGGGCACTGAGGTGGAGACTGGGGCCAAGGAACGGATGAGGGCACCTGGGGGAGTTTGTAGAGGAGGCAGGGGGAGGGCCTTGGGGCAGCCTGACCACCAACCTCAGGAGGGAGGAAGAGGTTTCGAGGCAGGACTGCTGAGGAGTGGAGAAACACCTTGCTTTAAGAAAAGCTCCTTCAGAAACCATTTGTGGTCCATGAGGCCGGAGAGGGGCAAGGCAGTCAAGACAGCCTGCCTGGCCTGCTCTCAGGCCGGGCTCCTAGGAGGGGCCCCTGCAGGCCTGTTGGCAGACGGGGCAGGCTGCTCCCAGCGGCATCCCCGGCCCAGCTCAGGCTGCGGAAGAGCAAATCACTGAGGAAGGGGCCTTCTCAGCATGATTAGAGAGGATAATTACCAAGCAAAGAAGTGGCCTTCCTGACAACCCTGATTACAGATGAGGACCCCGGCTGCGGCAGGAAATGGGGGAAGATCCCCTGTCCCAGCCAGCCAAGGTCAACACACAGTGACAAAGACGGACATTAAGTCTTGCTCAAGGAAACACTTTGTTTGAGTCCCGGGGTGGCAGAGGTCCTGGCCCCCAGCCTGTCGGCCTCCAGTGTTTATCTCATGTCCTTGATGTGCCCTGCTCTGTGTGAACCACTGGAGGCAACCAGGAAGGAGGCGAGCTCTTCCCCAAGGAGATGATAACCTCATGGTGGGTCAAGGTTCATACACAGAAACCACTCTAGAACCAAGGCGATGAGATTCCTTCCTCTGGAAGCCTGATACAACACTACCATTCTTACTTTGGTCGTTCTGGAGGATGCATGGTTTCTCTAGAGCAGAGTCATGGAATGGGCTGGGAAGGCCCTCCTTCATCATGAGCTGGCGACTCCAAATCTATTGCTTCAGGAGACTGTCCTCACTGAAGCTTCAGGAGGGTGTATCCAATTGCCCATCTTCTCTGGAGGCCAGCGGGCATCTCAAACTGTTTATGCCTCTAAGCTGGGCTTGTCAAACCTGCAGTGTCCCCTAGACACCCCCCCCGCCACCTCCCCCAGGGGCAGACACTGCTAGGTACCCAGCCAATACTCCTGTGTTTCTCCTCTCTAACCAAACGCTGATTGTTTTCAGGGTACCAATGAACTCCACAAAAGTCCCTCAGCCTTCCTTGCAGTTACAGGTGGCTTTATGACACAGTCCTGGCCAATGAGATCAAGGAGGGCATCCCTTCCCAATTAAAAAGTCAAAGCCTTTTCCAAGGGAAGCAAGGGCAAAAATGAACTATTGGGACTTCATCAAGATAAAAAGCTTCTGCACAGCAAAAGAAACAGTGAACAAAACCAAAAGACAACCGACAGAACGGGAGAAGATATTTGCAAATGACACATCAGATAAACGACTAGTATCCAAAATCTATGAAGAACTTATCAAACTCAACACCCAAAGAACAAATGATCCAATCAAGAAATGGGCAGAAGACATGAACAGATATTTTTCCAAAGACGATATCCAAATGGCCAACAGACCCATGAAAAAGTGTTCAACATCGCTCGGCATCTGGGAAATCCAAATCAAAACCTCAATGAGATACCACCTCACACCAGTCAGAATGGCTAAAATTAATAAGTCAGGAAACGACAGATGTTGGCGGGGATGTGGAGAAAGGGGAACCCTCCTACACTGTTGGTGGGAATGCAAGCTGGTGCAGCCCCTCTGGAAAACAGCATGGAGGTTCCTCAAAAAGTTGAAAATAGAGCTACCATATGATCCAGTAATTGCACTCTTGGGTATTTACCCCAAAGATACAAATGTAGGGATCCAAAGGGGTACGTGCACCCCGATGTTTATAGCAGCAATGTCCACAATAGCCAAACTATGGAAAGATCCAAGATGTCCATTAACAGATGAATGGATAAAGAAGAAGTGGTATATATATACAATGGAATATTATGCAGCCATCAAAAAGAATGAGATCTTGCCATTTGCAATGACGTGAACTGGAGGTTATTATTCTGAGTGAAATAAGTCAATCGGAGAAAGACATGTATCATATGACCTCACTGATATGAGGAATTCTTAATCTCAGGAAACGAACTGAAGGTTACTGGAGTGGTGGGGGGTGGGAGGGATGGGGTGGCTGGGTGATAGACACTGGGGAGGGTATGTGCTATGATGAGCACTGTGAATTGTGCAAGACTGTTGAATCACAGACCTGTACCTCTGAAACAAATAATATATTATATGTTAAAAAAAGAGAAGAAGATAGCAGGAAGGGAAAAATGAAGGGGGGGGAATCGAAGGGGAAGACAAACCATGAGAGACTATGGACTCTGAGAAACAAACTGAGGGTTCTAGAGGGGAGG